TTAGATCAGGGCATCCCCTATCGTTTTACAATGGTTGCAAAATCACGATACACTACTTCAATAGAGAAATTCAGCACAAAACATGCGGCAGTGCAGGGCGTGGTGTGGGTGTTGAACTTCTTCCGCTCTTCATTTCGAGGGGCGCGCGCCTCGTGCAGTCATGAAGAACTGGTTTCGCAGAGCATGCGAAGCTTCTTGGGATGTGGGCAATCCGTTGGGCCGAGGGTTTATGTTTCTAACGACCAGAAAAAGATGCTTGCAGACTACAGTTTTGGGGCTTTCGGGCTTCTGGCCCGACAGAAGTTCGATCACCAATTTCGGGACATCGTTTAGTTCACAAAACTTCGACACATTTACCAAACCCACTCGAAACCCTAAACTCCCGAAGGTCTGTGATGAACGCAGCAAGAAGCGAAGGTTCCTTACAATCGTAACATCGCCGAATTCAAGGTATCGTCTTCAAGGCGTCGCCTGTCTTACAGGTCGCCGTTAGCTATCATTTTCGACATTCGAAACCAACATTCAGTGCTTTGGCCCCAGCTAATGGAAGTAACTAGTCGCGCAACCCGAGGCCATGCTGCTAGCATTCAACAAATGTTTCCGGAGATTCAATCTTCAACCTTAACGATTTTGAAAGGATTTGATGCGTGAGAAACTGTGAAGGGATCAAGAATCAGGAACGTTGTCCTCGTGACGATTTCTCTGTTGAGCTGGCCTAATCGTCGGTGAAAGCCGCTGATGATCACAATGCCGGTCTATCACGCCAACACAAGGATTGGCTGGGTCTATGTCTATGTTCCGGACCTACACAGAAACAGCGCGGCAAAAACCATGAAATCGGTTGGATCGGATATGGCAGCGCATTTCTGCGGCCACTCCCAGCATGCCACGAAAGGGGTTTTGCGCACGCCCACGAGGAAGTCAATGAATAACTCCACGCCGTGGCCAGTAAAGAAAAACCCGTTTGCAAACACCAAGAAGAATGGGACAGCGGACAAACGTTCAACCATTCAACTGAGCAGCTGCGACGTTTCGTCGCATCCCAAGCTGTGTAGGCCTGGAGCCGCGCTTTGGGAGGGCGGGCCGGGCCAAGTGCTGTGCTCGGGGTCTCGGTTGTCGCGCCGTAACAATCCGCACGCATTCCAAATTTCACGCAGCAAGCTTGTGTGCGGCAGGCCAACCGAGAATACTGCCTGCATGGGGGCCATTTCGTGCTTTATTTCCACCGCAGAAACCGCAGGACTACTGCGCGGTGCCCACCGCGGCCAAAGGACCAAATGGACCAAACGCAGTCCCAGCATGTCTCAACGTGCCCCCGCGAGGAGCTCCTACGGCCGGGGCCCTGGTCCTTCTCCGATTTTAGTTGCGCAGGAGTTCGAAGAAAGGGCTACAAACATTGCTGCGCTTCAGCTGCGCGGCTTCGACGCCTAATTAACTGCCACCTGGCGGTTGCGAGGCGGCAGCGACGAGCGTGACCAAGGTCTGGGTATTTGTGATGCCTCTTGTGGCGCGCTGCCTTGGTTACGCCGCAGCCCGGCTGCACGTGGGGTGTGTCTCGCTTTGACGTGTGAAGGGGAAACCACCTCGCATGCCAAAGCGGCAGCGTTGGTGACAACCTCGAGGCGCCTGTCATCGCGAGCGCCATGTCACCCACAAGGACGCAGCAACCACACGAAGGTCACGGGCTCGGGGCCCAACAGCCAAAACATTGCAAGCGACGCTGCTTTCCACACGTGAAGGCGTTGAGCGACATGATGCGACATGGCTGGAAATGCATTCCGGCTGCCGCGTGTTGCCGGCTGGCACACCAGGATCAAACATGATCAAACTACCTCGAACCAAATCTTGGGACAAAGGTCGATTTCAATCGACGTCTGCAGAACTCTACGCTATACGTGTAACCATTAAATTGCTTCTAAGCCCTGCGGCACATGGCATGGGAGTGAAGTCACCCCAAGCGGGGTGATGTCAGCCCAACAACATCTCAACTTTAGCCATTCCGAAGGGCACAAGCATTTTTGAAGTGTTCGCGGTTTGCTCTTAAAATGGCGCGTCCCTGCGCACCGTGGGTTGAGAAGCCTCATTAGTGCAATAATAAACATGACTAGATGCTAAAACCCCAAAGGTGGATGTTGATTGCACTCTCCAATCCGCTCCAGTTCACTTGTCAGGATGCGTTGCGGACGCTGGGGTTTCAACAGCTCCTCTTCGGCAGAACGTGCGGATGTGTGTGCACGTGTGTACGGAGGTGGAGGTAGGCATGCGTCTCCGACCAAACAAGGTGACCGAGACTGTTTCGGATAGCACGAGCTTGTGCACACGAGGACCAGCGCCGCACCTCGAAAACGACTCCGAGTGCCCCACAAGCTTTGGGGACTGCACACTTCGCGAATATCAGACATTCGGTTCCATGGACCAAACAGCAACATACAAGCAAACGCCCCATTCCACAAGCAACTGTTCGAGACAGACACACACACACACATAAGTGAGTACCCCTAACATCACAGCACCCAAACCCCGCCAGTCCCCATGTAGACACTCGATTCCACAAGCACCCGCTCGAGACACACATCAGTGGCAACACAACACCTCAAAGCCAAGCCATTCCCCATGTAGACTCTCGATATCGCAACACCTAAGCAAGAAACACATCAGTTGCATCGCAGCAAGCAGCAAATCAACACCAGCCAAATCCCCCAATGCAAACGCTCGATTTCGCAAACACCCGCTCAAGAAACACATCAGCGGCAGCAAGGCAAAACCAACCAGTTCCCATGTAGACGCTCGATTGTGCAAGCTTAAGACACCACATCAGTGGCATCGCAGCAAACAGCAAGCCAAAACCAGCGATTCTCCTCGTAGACGCTCGATTACGCAAGCACCAACTCGAGACATATGTAGAAACACAATATCCAAGCTTTAGACTGCGCACAGTACTGGACCGCGCAGAAACAACAGACTGGATGGGAGACAACATATGATAGAGGTATTGAAAACTAGCTCAAACCCTGTGGCACATGGGGTTGCGACGACGTTGCCCCGGCAGGGACGACTTAAACCTACGGCTAGTAACAATGACAATCAAGTCATGAATGTTCATGACGTACAGATCAAGAGGCGCCAACAGAACAACCCGGCATACCCCGTCCTAACCCAAATGGTGGGCTGTAGAGAGCCATGGCTCCTGCGGCGAGACATTGGACTGTCATGAAGCCAAGGACCGAAAGGGGCTTTGTTTCAGCGCCTCAAGCGTGCCAAAGCGAAACAAACGGACTTGAAGAGGCGAAAGCGACAGAGCGTGCGACGGCTTGTTCCAACTGGATAGCACGAGTCGCAAGTGTGCCCGATCTATGGCATGCAGTGTGGTGGTCGTCACCGGCGGCGTCAGTCAGTCGCAAGAAGCAGCGAGACGTGCGCAGGGCAAACAGGTGAACAGTGAATACGGAACTCAGCAAGGGGCGATACTGGGCGGCTCTAACACTTTCGTGTGTGTGTGTGTGTGGGCCGGACCGCGAGAGGTGCGGTGACCGCGCCGCAAAGTTGGACGGTGTGGCATCATAGAGAGCCCCTCGCAGCGAAACGTCGGCAGCTTACAGTGGCGCTGATTCAAGCGTAGCCGGCGCGTGCACAACAGTCAAAGTGTGGTGCTAGGAATGACATGTAACAGTGTGCATCAGATAAGTGACAGGGGAGCGCAACCCGAAACCTCAGAACCATGCACAGAACGTGCTCAGAAGCAGGCGCAGCTGCAGCAGCCCTTAGAAGGCAGCAAGCCATGGGTCCAGCAACCAGGAAGCATGCATACTTAGATTGAAAGGACAAGAAGCCGGTGAACAAGCGGCCATCTGCGATGCACTTGCAAGCCAGGATTGTGGGCTTATCGCATCCTGTCACAGGGGAGGGAGGGACCAGTCGCGCAATCGAACACCCGCAAATCCCCGATGTCTTAGTCGTTCCCCTTCGGCAGCATTCCAGAAAATTCCTCTTGCAACAGCAACTCGACTCGCGCGCCAGCGCGACATGCAACCGCGCAACCTCGAAAGCGTCTTGCAAGGGACCGATCCGCTCGGGTGTGGCAAGGACATAAACCGTCGTCTACAAAGGCAGAAGTTGCGTCACCGCCCCACTGTTCCACAAGCCCCCCTGGACTAAAGCACTGGCGGGATGTTGCATGAGGGCGTCGGCACAGCATGGGGGAGTCGCCTTGCTCTCCGTGCTCGCACTGTCGCACCTCATGCCATTCTCTAGTCGCCTGACACATTTCACCGCCAATGTCACGAAAGCAGCCTCTCGGCGGTTTGCAGATGTGAAGATTCAAGTTTTCGTAGCATTGAATTCAACAGGGCTCAATCGCTGGGATTGTACTGTCAGCCAGTCAGAAGCTGCGAATCGTGTACTGCGACACATGCATCGCTAAATTGAGCCAGCGCGGGCTCCAGGAGTTTCAAGGGCGACCTCGACGTCCGCAATGCTTTTCGCTCCGGTCTCTGGTTTTCCTAATCCGCAGCTAGCTCTGTAGTTGCGAGTACTTAAGTCGTGTTCCCGGCAGTTTCTGGACGCAACGGATTCCTGCAGTGAACGTTTGATGTTGGAGGGGCCGACATTTAACGAGAGAGCCGATAACTTACAAGTGAGACACACACCTTCGTCCCCAGCAGCCACCCTGCGTGGGGCTGCGGCTTTCCTATTTCCTTCAATATTATATATATATATATATATTATATATAGCAATGTAAATGTACGATCGCTAATGTGATATAATATAGTATCCAACCATGTGATACATTGTAATTTAACACAATGCAATATAAGCACTATCATACAAAACAATATAGAGAAATTCCAGATAGGATCAGAGAATATACTTAATATAACACAGGGGGGTACCAACAAATTATACATCTGCAAGTCTGCAAAGGCTTGTAGACCTTCCCATGCCCCAGCTCGAAGCATCTGGCGACGTGAGCCCCATGGGAATGGTGCACTGGGAAACAACATCAGCTACTACAAGGATTGCTGCCGCAGTACTTCTGCCCATCGTGTGGAAGGAAGGGAGCTCGCCAATCTTCATGGAACATCGTGGTTCTCCTAGCAGCTCCAATTCAACGGATTCGCCCGACTTCACCCACAGAAACTCATGCCCTTGACCCCAAACCCCAAACGCTATCAAGGTCTCACATAAGGTATTATAGAAACCCTCAGCCCTGAAACCTAAACCCTTAAACCCCAAAGCCCCAAACCCTAAAACCCCTCGCTTACTGCGCAGGCTGAAAGCTACGCGCCTGCCTCTGCACTTCCCAGACCTGCCACGATTTGAGCAGACCTACGCTTTGGGGTCCAGGGCCTCGGGGCTTTGGGTTTCAAGGCATTGGGTTTAGGGTTTCAGGTTTAGGGTTTGAGGTTTTTGGGGGTTGGGGTTTAAGGGTTTACAAAGGGGGTTAGGGTTTAAAGCCATCAAAGCAGCCTGGAGACGACTCTGTGCACATCTGTCGCACTGTGAACCCTCCCCGAATTGGAAATGTTTCTCTGCATCGCCGGGGATTGAAGCAAGCAGCTGCTGATAAATGCGAAACATACGACCATTTCCATCATGAAGATCGAATCTCACTTCGTATGATAGGAAGATGATAGATTTGAGGAGTTATGCAAAGAATTCCAAGCCCTTCAATGCCCTCTGAAGACGACTGCTAGCTTCCTTCTTTGCAAACCGGACTCCGAACCCTGAGGCCCCGAGGTCGCTCATGGGTTTAGGGGGTTTGAGGAACCCTAAAACTGGAGAAGCTCAAAGTCTCCCCCATTTTTTCGGTGTTGGACTTTCTGTTCTCAGAACGCCAGGGTACAGTTACGTAAATCTTACGTAGTCTGCTTTTTGCGCTCGTGTCTCCCTTTCCGGTTGTTCCTGGTTTCAGGTTTTGGGGGAGATGGGCAGGTTTCGCTGGAAAAGCAACTGATTTGAGGAGTGGCAGCAAAAACCGCAGGAGATCTGCCGAACCTAACGGTCACCACGTGCTTCGACTCCCAACCTGTTTTGGGTAGACCTCCACCCCACGACCTGCCTGAAGTTTTCTTGCATGGGGCTTGGGACCCTTCTCGTCTATTTCGGCTTGAAAGCTGCTGCCCCCACACACCGACGCCCGACTGGCCTCACATCGAAGGTCCACGTTTTTGATGGCATTGTGCTTGACCCACGTGTTTGCAGCAATGCTTGAGATGGTGTCGCCAAGGTCACCCAGGAAATCAACTATGGACGGAAGAGCCGACACGAGGCTGCCATCCATATCATCATCCACCCCAGCCAAAGCTGCAGAGACGACGGGATCTTCTTCAGCCGACTCGAATCCATCATCGCCAATAGATACTGCATCCTCCATGCTGCTTTCGTCGTCGTCTATCATACCGAAGATCCCTGAATTGGACGATCTCGGTCTTGGAGTGCATGAAGTCGGCGATCCGACGTTGACAGGGGACATGTCCTCAGCATAGCTCTGAAGGACGCTCATGAGCTTCTCGCAAGTGTCCTTTTGCGAGTTCTTGATGCTGGACTCGATCATCGACCGCAAAAAAGTGCGTTTGACGAAATCAGCAGAGAATGATTTCGTGACGAGGACGCCGTCACCCTCACGAACCATCTCAATGTTCTCCTCGACGCTGAAATGGTCTCCGTATGGAACATCATGCGACACTGCAGAGGATTTCAACCTGACAATGTCCCGACCCTGGTCATCATGTGAAACCCCAAGGCCATAACTCACACTCACCCGTGTCTCCTTTGGGCACATTGGCTGTGGCGGAACGGGCATTATCATGGCCGCTTTGCGGCTCCCGCTTGTTGTTCGGGCACCCGGCTTGGGCGGGGTGTCCCAGTGCCAAGGCTCCGTCTTAAAGTCCCGGACGCCATGTCTGTCCCAGTAATCCTGGGTGCTCAAACGAGCAGCATGAATCTCTCGCTGTCGAAATGGAAATGTATCTCTCAAGAAAAAACTAGATTTGTCAAATCTTTCGGCTCGGTTTCCCATATAAGACATCCAGCCGCCCAATCGTCTGCTAGGAGTGCGTCCTGGCAAGAGCTCAACAAAAGGGCAGATTCCCAGCGCAATGGTCGCGTCCCGAATTGAAACTTCCGACTGTCGGCTTAGTCGCTGGTCACAGCAGAACAAATGCAATTGCTGCGTGCCTCGACCTGTTGCAGCGAGAGGGCTTTGACATGGGCGCACAACACCTCGGTGCAGACAGTGTCATGCTGAGGCGGCTGAGGACTTTCGGCATGGTTTTGAAAGAAGCTAGAGCTCGTGTTGACGGAAAAAGACTTGCAGACAAGTTGCCGGAATCATGTGGCTGCGGGGTGGTGTGAAGTCTTAAACGGCATCAGGAAGCGGTTCATGCAGAACATAACTACCATCTACATCCATCTCAACGTCTCTCAACTGTCCTCGCACTGCCAGGCACAACAATCCATCCGTCGTCATGCGATGCTGGCAAAGGTTGCTCAGGATTTCGACGAGCGAACCGAGGATCTGTCTGCTGTACCTATCGATTTCAGTTCTCCTGCCGCGCTTTGCATTTTGCTCATAAGGCATGCAAGTGCAACGGATCGAAACCTTTCTGCTTTGGAGTCAGGTGCTCTAGGGGCCCACAGCCAAGAAGTTGCACCACTGTGGGGGGGATACATTGACTATCTACAGTCTACAGTCATGAACGAGATCAATAAACGAACCAACCCAGGATGCCTCGGAATTCCTGACGCGGCACCTCCGGAAAGCAAGCAGCAAACAAGTAACTGCAGCAGAATGAAACAAACAGTTGCCTTGCGCGACAGCTTAAGCAAGACAACTCGAACGGTGTGGAGACGACTCCGACACGAAAAACAGCACGGCACCTCTCGCATCTCATGCAAAAATATGCAATCAACAAAAGCAGCCCTAAACCCTGAACCCTAGAGGTACCCACAACCTTCCCCTGGCCGGCAACCCGTGCCATCTTTACACTCGCGTTCTTGCAGCTCTTAAACCCTAAACTCTAAGCCAGACACTGCTGCCCATTGTGGTGCTGAGCAGACAGTCGACAGGGTGCGCAGTGAATTGTGGGACTGCCTTCTTTTCTTCACCTCTGGCTTCTTCATGCGAGGTGCTGGTGAAAGAGTGAAACAATTGACGAGATTTCTGACCCAGTGCATCACCATTTCGAGGAACATACACCTTCACAATTCTTTTGTACGCATGCATGTCTGTCCTGTCCGTCCGTCTGTCCATCCGTCTGTATGTACGCATGTACGTACGTACGCATATGTATGCATGTATGTGTATGTGAACGCGTACTGTGCAGCTTCACATATATATATATATATACACCCACAAACGTAGTCTACCAACATTGACAACTTGTGTGCATTCTAAACCTGCAGTAACCGTCAAGACTATGTTTTGACTGCTGTGTCTTATCTAGGTCAGCATCACCACAAGACGAGCGGCTCGTCTCAGCCCGGACTTGTTCGCAGGTACGGCCAGCCGCTCTTGGAGCTGTGCCGTCACAAGTGCCCAGAACCTTGACACATAAGCTGAGGTGATGGTATTGTACATGGTTGTGGTGGTCGTGGCAGTTACAGCCACGGCAGCTTAATCGAAGTAATGGTGATGGGTATCCTAGCGACATCTAGCGACACTAGCGGCAACAGAAGAGAAAGACTAGAGAAGAGACTGGAATCATGATAGCTACGAATGGTTGGTTTCAGAAGACTACAGTCACATACATGGCCGATAAAACAAAAATGCTATGTGCCGTACATCAACCATAGATAGATTGCTATGACAAATAGACCCTTCGGGCTTGTTCTTGGTGGGTGTCTGCCAGAAGCGAGGTCAGCAATCCCAATTTTGAGCATCGCGCTGGTCGCTGGTGCCACTGTGGTGCTTGTTGCAATGGTGCACAGAGGTGTGGGGCCAGAGCAACAATGACAACGTGTGAACGATAGCCTCTGCGCTGCTTATCACGCTGTGGGTGTCCGGGGACTTTGCAATCTGACAAAAGCACTCGAGCAAACAAGTTACCAAGACAAGTATGTATTTTGTGTTTCGTGTGTATCTGTATATTTAATTATGCACATGCAGCACACGCATCTACTTTACTACTAATTAATTATTTACATACCTGTCCTGGGCTCGTGACGCTCCAAATCCCGCCGAAAGGCCGAGGTAGCCTGGCCGCAAAGGAAACAAGCCAAGACCAACACTGCAACACTGTCATGACAACAATAATATCACTAATAACAATAGTAGTAGTAATAGTAACAATAATAATGATAATGGTTGTAATGATAATGCTAATACTAATAATAATATAACAATAATAATAAACAAATAACAATAATCTTGTAATAATAATCATAGTAGTGATAATAATAGTAATAATAGTAGTAGTAATAATAACAGCAGTAATGATAATGGGGACACCGGCCTCCAGCCCTTCTCAGGCTCTATAAACATCCCCAAACGCCAGAACTGCCACTCTACTGGGCCGACAGAAGGATGAGATGCGATAACAAAAACGACATCCCAATTGTCACAAGCCATGGTGAAAGGAAAGACCGCGAGGATATCTTTGAAGGAGTGCTGCGGCAGCATGAGTCTGAGTTCTTGCCTGAGGAGACTTACCGAATTGCTGCAGGCGGCCTGCTGATGACCCTGGTATGCAGGTCCTTCTCCACGATGCATCCTCACGCCGCCGCCAATTACTTTACTTGTGTTTACTTCCTTGAGCTTGCTATACTACACAGTCGTTCTGGCAGTACCAGATGATGCGCGTACGGCTTAGGACTCACGAGCGCACGCATTGGCGGTTGCACAGAGACGTATCTACAGGAATGCAGAGCAGCGCCAGCAAAACGGATCCGGCAACGGCCACCAGCTGTGCTCCGGATCACGGTGATGCTAATCGGTACAAAGACATGTTCATTCGATGCTGAACACTTTTGCCAGTCATTCACTTGCTAGTTCACTTCAACATGTTCTGCCCACTGGTGCAAACGTCTTGATCAGCTGGAAATTATATAACTGTCCGTCCGCCTCCTTTCGAAGAGGCATGCGCTTACTTGCCGGTTCCGCATAACACAGCTAGTGGCAGGAATTTATTGCAGATTGCTTCCCCAGGCTGCCTCCCAACCACTACGATGCTTCTGAAGGCTATCCGAGGCTGCAGCTGCTGGTAAGCTTTCCGACTCTGTGAAATCCTCGCGAGGCGCAGAGGTGTGAACGCTTTGGGAGAAAGTGTGCCTGCGGTCAATCAACGCTAAGACGAGATCAAGATCCAATGGCCTATACTCTTGTCCTGGTCTTGTTTTAGGCTTTAGGCCCAGTGGTGGAAGGATGGCAACTTCTTTTCGCCGACATGGTAAGAGTCAAGAATATTTTCAGTCTGATTGGTAACTAGAAGCCAGTGAACTCATCGAAGGCATCCCGACAGGGGTGAAGGCAAGCGAAAGCAAACGACAAAATACACGGGGCTCTCGAGTCGAAGTAACCTGCTGCTCCAGGGACAGCATGCTCAAAGGTGCTGGGTCCTAGGCCCTAAGCCTCTTCTTAGCCACTCTTCCCATCTGAAGTCAAGGTGCGATGAGGGAACTTCGTTCGCGAACTGGCCTACGACCTTGGCACTTCGCATGCAAGACGGAGGCAGCCAACTTGCCGTTTGCCTACTGTCCAGATCCGTTCTTCACAGGCGAGGAGCCATGCCTTTTCAATCATGCTGATTTGCGATGCTGCTGCTAAAGTCGATTGATTCAATTCACATCGCCAAACAGCGTCTGCGAGCATTCTTCCAATCCGCATCACAGCCAGCGCACCAGTTTACTATGCCTTACTACGCGTGTCCGGAAATGTGGTTGCAGCGCTCGGAAACGCAAACACCATGGAGCAAGCTACTTTCGCAACTGCCGTGCGAGGCGAAGGGCGGCATGCTGCTTGAATTCGGCGCGGTGCTTCGCTGTTTGGAAGAAACCTGCGCATCTGAACAGGTCCGTGGCACTGGCATATTGTCATGCGATGCAAGCGCAGTAGCATCTGCAACCCAGAGAAAATGTTCGATATTCTACTGTAGCTGTAGCGGGACTATGTGGGGATACTATTGCCAAATGACCAAATGCATTGAGGACCATGACTTCGCCCGAGGAAACGACTTGAGATCGACATGAGCCCTCGGGCCTCCCACACCGGCGGGTCGTGACCCAGCTGCCAAGTCCAAAGTCACGGTGGCCTCCTGGGAAGAAGCTTCACACTGGTCCTACCCTGTGGAAAGACCGAGCTTCGGATCTACCACGTAATCCACACATACGCACTTGCAGTAATTTCAACGTCCACGGTAGCAGAAAGCTCCACGCAAGATCGTTGACTGGGATTCCCTGCCAGCACGTGGGGCTCGGCTGATCGAGAGAGCCTCAACAACTGGGGTTACCAAGCGGACAAGCATAAATCTGAACTCTGGCCCGTCCTAACTCGAGTCGAAGACAATGACCGCGTCAAGCTTGAAACCGCGACTAACGTGACGAGACATCGTCTCAGGGTCTCCAGAACCAGCTGGGCGGCTGCATCCGATGTCTCGAATAGTCCGGATCTCCAGGAATAGCAGTGTGCAGCTCCTGGACCTGCACTTGCTGCTGCTTCTGTTTGCACTGGGCAATCCTCGAAGCTGCCCCGCCTTGGGATGTAGCGGCGGAGACCTCAGCCAGAAGTTGGAGCCACGCTTTTGTCAGCTCAGAGCTTGCAAAGTACATCGGAACCCCACCGCAAGGACCAACCCTCCCCCCCACGCCCGGACCAATCCAGCAGACTCTGAGCCCCAACTCCGAAGCTCCCCCTCCGAGGCTCCGCACAGGGCGTGGCAGCCACTTCTCGCGAGCAGCTCCCTCGGCCCGAGGAGCCGGCCTTCACTAAGGGCCATCTTATTTTTAAGGGGTCACTGAAAAAAGGGCTACTGAATCAGGTTCGCTGCGGAGGTTTTATCCGTGGGATGGGACGATAAGTTGGAGTGGAAGAGCAGCGATGCTCAGAGAGCGGTCCTTGTGGCCATCATGCGCTCATGAGAACTTTGCTGTACTCAAGGGAGAACACCAACGGCAGAAAGGGAAGCTGATGATGCTTTCCCACTCTACTACCGATGCTTTTTGTTGTTCACCATCATCATCCATCATCAGCTTCATCGCCACAATCATCATCATCCCCATAATCATAATCATCATCAACACCATCATCATCGTCATCGCCACCATCACGACCGCCATCATCACCATCAACATCACCATCATCATCATTGTCATCATCATCATAACCATCATCATCATTATCATCATCATCATCATCATCGCCACCACCATCGTCATCATCATCATCATGATCATCATCATCACCATCTTCATCATCAGCATCATCATAGTCTCACCATCATTGTCGCTTGCTTGAGCATCACCACCACCATCGTAACCATGGTGAGAATCATCATCGATACAAGCATCATCGTATGGGTATGGCTGAAAGCTCAACCCCGTCTGCCAACATGCAGACCTACCCAGCAAGCACGTGTAACGAGCAAAACCTTCCGGATCCTTCCTGACACACTAGTAAACTCCCACGCAAACGCACGGGCCTCGGTAGGCGCCCGCCTGTTCAATTGCTTGGGGGAGTGTCTTGCGCACAAGGCTCAACAGCCGAGACCAAGGGCCGCACTGGCGCAAGCTCGGACCTGGATCTGGTTTCAGAAACGAATGCAGAGCTGATGCATGATGAAGGTCGTTGTTGTTTACGGGAGCGGGTATGCCTTGCCTGACCCCTGAAAGCTAGGCCGGAAATCGCCAGAATAGCATTGTAAGCCAGTACAAACACTCTTAACTAGTCCGAGTCCGAGTTTGCAGACCGACAAAGGCAGCAAAAACAAAAACATTACTATTACTAGTAGTAGCAGTAGTAGCAGTATTAGTAGTAGTATTATTAGTAGTATTAGTAGTATTAGTATTAGTAGTTTTAGTAGTATTAGTAGTATTAGTAGTTTTAGTAGTATTGGTAGTATTAGTAGGAGTAGGAGTAGGAGTAGGAGTAACTACTACTACTACTACTACTACTACTACTACAAACCAATGTAGTTTTTTTGGAACCATGCCCATTCTTTCACAGTTCCTTTCAAAAAAAGAGGACCCAGAGGCTACCTACATAGATATCGTCTTCGCCGCGTGGTTTGGCACCGAGATCGTCCTGCGGATCCTCGTGGCCGCTCAGCTTGAGGGGCAGCTCCCATTTCAAAGCTTCGGTGGCAGATGTTGAGCGCCTTCGGCTTTACTGGGTGAAGAAGTATGATAGCGATTCGACTGATGAGGCGTAGATTGCGTCCAGACTGCGCAGGACGGCTGTCGGTTCTTTACCAACGACGAGAAGCACTGGCGCCTTGCTCTTGATGTAGACAGCAAGTCTAGGGCTAAAAGGGGTCAGGGTTAGTGTGAATTGTTTAGGGTTAGGATTTGGCATTTGCAGCAAGGGCCAGAAGAACGGTGAAATTGGGGCTGGGGCCGATTGGGTGTAGCCGTTACAACCAGCCCTCAGCCCCATGAAGTCACACCCTGGGCTGAGGAACATTTTCGATTTCCTCCTCGTGGCTGCTCGGCAGCACCCGTGGACGTAAAAAAGCAACAGTGGCGGCAGACGCAACGTGGCCATAGCAGCCGCCGGAGAGGGGAGCGGTAGCAGGCTAGCAGCAGTGGAGATGGTCGTCGTCGCAGTAGTAGTAGTCGTCGTCGTCGTGGTAGTATAGCAGTGGTAGTGGCAGAAGCAGTCGAAGTAGAAGAAGAAGAGCCCATCCTAAAAGCCACCAAAGCCCGAAATTCCAAACTCGCTGTTGCTTTCTCCTTCTGCAGGCCGAGTCCTTGGCGAGCCTCACTTTAAACACCGGGAATCTCAGTCTACTCCGGATCTTCCGGGTGTTCCGCCGCCTGGCTGTCTGTTACATTTTTGGTTGGGCATGTTTAAAGGGTTTAGGGTTTAGGGTTGTTTAGGGTTTAGGGTTTAGGGTTTGGCGTTGTGCTCGTAGTTTGTTTTTGATCTTCGCAGACACTGGAGAAAAGTGGCCTGCTTGGTTGGGTTTCGGAGCATGAGGCTTGTTCCGAATGGCCCTTCCCTTTCAATTCGCGACGTCTTCGAGGAGGGAAGTATAAAAATAGTCAGGAACCTGGAAACCACCCGGATGTAGAGCCATGAACCTGAAACTCCAAAACCTCTGTGTACCGTAAACCCTTAACCTGACTCTGCTAGACCTCCCATTCTTCGGGCCAGACTAGAAGTAAGGGTCCGGGAAGCAACACCTCAACTCTGAAGCAAAGGCGGGAAAATCTTATACCTGAGACACCAAACGGAGAGCCCGAACAGCCTAAGCTCCGACTTTGGGCAGCCTGAAAACCAAACATGCCGTCTTGTTTTTTTTGTAACGTGTCTGCGATGAGCTGCCAGTCTTGGCATGACATCCACTGAGATCGTAACGCCCGGAGGTCAGGTTTTGTTCAGAAGGCCAGTGCACTTGACAAGTAGGGCGCCCAAGACCGCTTTTGAACCTGGATCTGAGCTCACGGCATAACCCTGGAGTTTTCTATGTTGTGTGCATGCACTCGAAGGATCGCTGAGCCTAAGCCGCAAATCTATCATCCACAACTCAGATAGGAACCCTTATAGTAACCCTTGTAGAAACCCCAAAAAAACTCCTTAGCCACAGTAACCCTTATAGAACCTTTATAGAATCCCTTATAGTAATCCTTATAGTAACCCTTGTAGTAAAGACCGCTTGCTCCGAGGTCTGATCCGAATTGTCAGACTGGTCCGGACTGCCGGGCTCTCACGTCTCAAGCCCTGAACACCCAAACCCTCGACCCTGACCCAGGGAAAGGAACGAAGGTTTAGGGCTTAGGGTTCAGGGNNGCTTAGGGCTTTGGGCTTAGGGTTTCAAAGGGAACCTGCCTGGGGTTCTTTCCAGGGATCTCTTGGGCTGGGTTCTGAGTAGACCTTGGGGGTTTCCATGGGTTTGCCTGGGTTTGGCTTTCGGAGTGTCGGGGTTTAGGGGTTTAGGGCT